GTTGGTTGGTTGGTTGGTTGGTTGGTTGGTTGGTTGGTTGGTTGGTTGGTTGGTTGGTTGGTCGGCGAGCCGGGGCGCGCGCTCGTCCTGCGTGTCGGTTGGTTGGTTGGTTGGTGAGTCGGGGCGCGCGCTCGTCCTGCGTGTTGGTTGGTTGGTTGGTTGGTTGGTTGGTCGGCGAGCCGGGGCGCGCGCTCGTCCTGCGTGTCGGTTGGCTGGTTGGTCGGTGGGTCGCGGCCCCCGCTCGTGTGGCGGGTTGGTTGGTTGGTTGGTTGGCGAGTCGGGGCGCGCGCTCGTCCTGCGTGTCGGTTGGTTGGTTGGTCGGCGAGCCGGGGCGCGCGCTCGTCTTGCGTGTCGGTTGGTTGGTTGGTTGCTTGGCGAGTCGCGGCCACCGCTCATGCGGCTGCCTGGTTGGTTGGTTGGCCGACAGGCAACCGCTGCCGTTTGAAAGGAGGACGCGACGGGCGCAATTCCCGCTATGACTGCCCGACCCAATCCGGACTGTTGCCGAATCCTCCCAGCTGGTTGGTTGGTTGGTTGGTTGGTTGGTTGGTTGGTTGGAATGACGACCCAACCAACCAACCAGCCAACCGACATCGCCCCACAGGCGCGGGGCTATTGGTGACATAAGTATAGCGGCGACCGAGCTTAGATTCAGGACTGCCTGCTCAGTGGTAGCGGGTTGATTGATTGACGTACCCAATTGGCCAGCTCACTCGTTAATTGCTTGGCTGTAGCCTACTATTTCGAGAAGTGGCAAAAGTCACCTATTAAAGAACAAGAGGCAGCAGCCTCTATATGGGTTCTACTTCTACAGTTTGCGTAGTAACATCTATTCGATTATCGAACTTCGATAAACAGCTTGAGCCTGTTCTCTTGTTATGACTCTGTTACTTCATTTGCCTACAACTTAAGTAGTTATTTTCAGTTACATCTTCGAGCTAACGTCTTCTAAAGTGTTTTCGATTAGCTACTGCAGCACGTCGCGTAGAGGTAACGGCTACTAGTGCAGTGCAGTTTGTACCCTTTTCGGACCGTACCCCATGGATGGGCTCGCTTAGTCCTACTACTCCTACCACTGCTACTACTACGGCTACTACTTGACACTAACTACATCCAGGGGCTACGCCTCGTCCGGTGCTTCTAGTTTTCAAAAGTCTGTGTCTGACTGCTTTCATCTGTAAAAAGAACGGCGCTAGCTTTCACGAGTCTGAGTCTGACTGCTTCCTTTGTTTCTGTAAAAAGAACGGCGCTAGTTTTCATAAGTCTGGCTGCTTTCGGTGTGATCCAGTTCCCCTGTTCCGCAAATGATTTAAGTACTTATTTAAGAAGATGAAGACGACGGCCCCAGCACTGTCCGAAGTGCGAAGCATGAACGTGGGGGAGGTCGTTGCAGTCCCATGGCGACAATGATCACAGCGCTGAAATGCCACGCCTATGATGTGAATCCTTACGCTGCTAAGTACATAAGAGCAAGAAAGTCTACACAGTTGACAACTTTGCAACCGCACGAGAATCGTGCAAAACCTTCACGATTTGCACAACTGAAACACGCCGGGAATTATATCGGTAAACGCGTCACCTCCTAAGAGTGCACAGGCACGCGCAGTCCTAGCGCTCACGCGCGCTAACTGTTACAGGCTGGATCTACGCGGATCGGAACGCGCGCTCTTTCCTAACTGCTACAAGATCGCCAGCAATTTGGAGCGCATCCCGAAGCGAGTCTGCATGGGTCTCGCCATTATCTTATGCGAAACGCCGACTGCCTCAAAAGCGGCCTGTAGCTCTTCTCAAGAGTTTGTTAGACGAGCATAGCGCACTTCGCTAAAGTACGCAAAAATGGCTACGCGATTTTATATATACCAGTATTAGTATTAAAACTGGCACCGTGATAGCTGTGCGCGAGCATCTATAAGACCACCCAGATCGCTGCGCTGCGAAAAATCAGCACGAGGAGCCCGATCCAGCTGAGCCCTCGCGCTTGGTTCTGATTTCAATCAACTCGCTCCGCCCCGTTCCTCGTCCCTCCCACGCATAGAGATCCCCATAACGTTTCACCAGAATCATGAACACCACCAAAGCCCCCAGCCCCCTGCTCGTTCTCATCGTGGTCACCATCATCATCGTCATCATTATCATTATCGCCACCACCTTCATCAGCAGCCTAGTCGAGGCCACCACCTTCATCCGCATCCTAGTGGTAGCCATGTCACCTCCGTACCCGAGTGATTTCCCTGACTTGCACGCGCGTGGCAAGATAGATTTTCAGCGTGTTCATTCTAGTGGTGTAGTCAGTTGGTCGGCATCTCAGTCGATGGACATTGCTAGCATTCTACTGCCAGGCCTTTCGCCTGTTGTTTGTAGTATTTGTTCGAGAGAGAGAGAAGAGAGAGAGAAGAGAGAGAGAGAGCGAGAGGCTGACAAATAAAAGAGCCAGCGCGCCAATGCCTAGGGGCAGCGAGGGGGGCTTAGCGCTTTGAGTGAGGATGGGCCCGGTGTGAAAGACAGGCGGCAGAGACTGACAGAGCGAGAGAGAAACAAAGAGAGAGAGCCGCGGCGCGCGGCATGAATCACGCCACGCGCTTCAGCCTTTTGACTGGTCGGAGGTCTGTCTATGGGTTGAACTCTTGGAAACTTTCAGAAACTCTCGGCAATCAGTTGCCTAGGCTTCACACCTTGCAGCCACTACGTTCCAGAGCGCGCCCCCGTTGCGTGTCCCCTACATTTTTCGAGGATTACTCGCGCGCAAGCTGCGCACGCTTTCGCTTTTGCGTGTCGGCTACAGACTCGCGACAGTGTGCGTTTTTGCGCACTTCGAAGCAGCATAAGGCAGCACCGATTTACATGCCAGAAAAAAAGTTATAGAATGGCTCTACTTTTTACTTTATATCTTCACGATAAAGCGCCCATCTTCGCGCCAGCTTATGCGGCGAAGCGAAAAGCAGCGCGCTTTATAATGGCAAACGCAGCGCGCTTTATAAGGAGACCCTTAGAAGGAGAGGGAATCCTGAAGGAGGGACAGCCTCAGGCCTCCTCCCTTATTTCAGTCAGCCACTTGACTTGCTTGCTTCAAGTTGTCGATTACAACATATATATATATTAGTATTTATAGGGTTAGCAATAATGTGCGAAATCCTTAAAGGGCTCCTTTAAGTGGCTTCCTTAAGGGAAACCCTTTTCCTTAAGGAATTTCTATTACAAAAAGTTATTATAACTTTCCTCAAGAGAAAAAAACTCCTTAAGGAAGCTCCTTAAGGAAAAGCCGCAATAGCCCTTGGCTAATATTAGACCCCTCCTGAAGGGATTCGCAAGGGCTCGCAAGGCTCTCTAAAGCCCTTGCGCTGCTAGTGCTACGGTACGAGTTCAAAGGCACCGCGAACATGTTAACGCGTTCACGGCTGTTAGTTTGTAGGCTACTCACGTACCCAGCCACATCTGCAGCAGGACACTACGCGACCCCTAGCGAATCGCCCCAACGAACTTCCAGCCGCTACCCTTGTTATTTATCGCCCAGCGCCTTTACCTTCTTTCAAAAACTTCAGGGAAGTCATTCAAATACAGAGAAAACAGAACGACCTCCCTGAAGTTTTTGTAAAGAAGTTAGCTCGCTCCCCTTCCGCGTTGGCGAGGGGGCGGCTTTTCGGAAATTGCCCCGAGGTTTTCGCTATAAAGTGACTAGATTTTGCAGCCGAGCCCCCCGATCAGGATGGGCCGCTTCTTGTTCGAGCGGGTTTGCGTGACACCTACAAACCAGCGCGAAACCTGGCAGCGGATGCGCGGCTTTGCGTGTCCCCTATAGACTGACAAAAAGGGCAAACTTGCGCGTCGCTCCACCCTCTAGAAGTTGCCACTTTTTGGCGGCATTTTTGGGCGCTATATTTTCCGCTATATTTTGTGCTATATTTTGCCAATATTTTGCCGAAAAAATCAGCCGTCTGCTCCTGGCGGGCGTCTTTTTTTGGCAAAATATACGGGCAAAATATAGAAGCCGAAATTTCTCGAACTTTGGAGATTTTGGAAGCCTTCCGAAAATGTCCCCAGAGAGGTCAAACCACGCAGCCACCCCGAGCTCCCAGCCATCCCCTGGGGGGGAGCTGCGGGCGCCTGCCGTCGTTTCAGTTCTCCGCATTAGGTGGGAAAACGCTCCAGCTACCTGGTGCGATTTTCTGCCTGGGAGTTCAAAGCTGGCAAAGTCTATCCATTTTATAGTGAAAATATTGGGGCCCATCACGAAAAGCCAACCCCTCGCCAATTCCGCGACTACCTTCCGCACACAGCAATCGACCACAAGAGCGCGCGGCAGCCCTTGGAGATGGTTAACCAGTATACTTCTAGTTCTAACCAGCTCACCAGGGTCCACCCTTCAGCCACGCAAGCCCCCACGGCTATCATTCTCACAGACATCGACATCCCCAACGGCTTCGACTTTCACACGCAGCGGTGTACATCTTTGGCCTTCTCATGGATATGATGACGCTCACCAGGGTCCACCCTTCAGACATGCAAGTCCTCACGGCTATCAATCTCACAGACATCGACATCCTCAACGGCTTCGACTTTCACACACAGAGATGTATATCTTTGGCCTTCTCACGGATATGATGACGCTCACCACGGTCCACCCTTCAGGCATGCAAGTCCTCACGGCTATCATTCTCACAGACATCGACACCCCCAGCGGCTTCGACTTCCACACACAGGGGTGTATATCTTTGGCCTTCTCATGGATGTGATGACGCTCACCAGGGCCCACCCTTCAGACATGCAAGTCCTCACGGCTATCATTCTCACAGACATCGACACCCGCAACGGCTTCGACTTTCACGCGCAGAGATGTAAATCTTTGGCCTTCTCATGGATATGATGACGCTCACCAGGGTCCACCCTTCAGACATGCAAGTCCTCACGGCTATCATTCTCACGGACATCGACATCCTCAACGGCTTCGACTTTCACGCGCAGGGATGTATATCATTGGCCTTCTCATGGAAATGATGATGCTCACCAGGGTCCACCCTTCAGGCATGCAAGTCCTCACGAAGCCGTTGAGGATGTCACCTCCCCAGCCTTCCCTTCCTTGACACAGTGGGAGCCACCTTCCCAGCCTTGGCGAGCAGACTTGGCGACTTTTTTCCTTTGTCTTTCTGTCTCTTAGTAGTCAATCCGTCTAGTTGTTAACCTATACCCGGCGCAGCGGGCCCTTGATGGGCCCGCTTTCTGGGCATGTATTTATACTATAATCCATTTTTATTGTTGTCCCCGTCCGTGGTGGTTCGTAATCCCTATCGACCATGGGCCTTATGGGTGTATGCGCGGCTTTGGATGCCAGGAATTAAGAAGTTGCTCGCTCTAGCTGCCTTGACAAATCCCGCGCGGCCTTGGCCCACGACAACTTTTCTATCTTTTTTCAGGTGCGTGCACTGGTCACGAGTCCGCTGATTCCTGGCGGGGAACTTACTTCGTTTGGAAAGCGCCGACGTCTTATTTTCTCCTCCGCGTGCTCCGACGTCGGACTTTACCATTTCGCCTCGGCTATCGGGCTTGGTCGGTAACCTGTTGGGGCCTGGAGCTGGCGCCGCCTGTTCCGTTACCTTCACTCGCTCGGCCCCCGCCGCCGGTGGAGGCTGTGAGAAGACCGCGCGACCCTTGAGCTATGTAGGCAACGGACGATCCTTTTCGGAGGCTGCGGCACTTTTGTTCCCACCAATCGGAACTGGCACTGCCATGACGTTTTTCTGTTCGCGTAGTTTTACTTTCCGAAAGCCTAGGGATTCTATACATAGAGCCACCTGATGAAGATAGCTAGCGCGCGGCCAGTGAATCCATCAGCCAAGCAATCAACTACATGCGGCCGGCTAACGCGCGGCGGTGCTGGATAACGGAGGAAGAAGCAGACCCAGGGCCAGCTCTGGACTGTGCAAGCACGACTTCGCTCTCGCTGACCTAGCCCACAAAATAGCATCCATAGCAGTCAGTCAGTCAGTCAATCACTCAAATGCTCGCAAAGTCTGAGCTAAAAAATACTGACATCGAGAAAGAGGAGGAGTCCTGACATCTAGCTGATGATGTTATATCAGTGCGTACTTAAATATACAACAAGAGGCGGAAAAATTTCCACGATCCCAGTTAGATCTTGATATAGAAGAAGTTGTTGTAAAAAAATCCTTGCTACAGGGAACGGCTCGTCGCGGAGCAAGTCGACGTCCTTTGTTCTTGTTTGGGCCACAAGTGCAGCTGCTGGCATCTTTACTTAATATAATTTCATATCGTGGACGCCACTTTTAATTTTAGCGATAAAGTTTTGCCTTCACTGTATCGCACGAACAGACACTCACAAATCATTCTGCATTTTGTACGCAGTGTGCCAGACCTTGCCGTGTGCCAGATTGGAGGACACGGCAAACCCGACGCGGAATGCTCACAGCGAGCTCTTCCCCCTTTATTTTGCTCATTCTAGGAGTCTACCGCACGGGAGCAAAAAACGCCAATGAGTAGCAGCTTACAATCGAACGCAAAGGAAGAAAGCCCAAACAATTAAACGCAACGCGGCGCGGCCTGTCTCCAACTTGACTCCCCTGCGGGTCTAGTTTGCTAGGGTTCTTGTTTCAGTGTTCTAGTAGATACATATCTCAGCGCCCATCTTATGAAATAATTTCAAAAGTGCGGAGTTTTGTGAACCTGGCGCGCAAGATAATCGTAGATAAAATAAGAGGAATTGAAAACGAAAGCGCGCACTGCTTGATAAAAAGTAAATCACAAGTCTCGTCTACCTAGATCAACTTTCAAACAGCCTTGCAAGCTGATAATGATAAAGATGCACTTGTTACCGCGTACACGCTGTTGCTGTAACTGTTCTGACAGCAGAAGAATTCAGCCTCAGCGATGCTGCTAGCCTTTGGTGAGCATCGCGGTTAGGTAAACTACGAGTCTTCTCGCCAACATCCATGCCCAAGTTTACGCGGCGCCATCGAAAACTAAGCCCGAACGAAAAACAAATCTGCTTCACCGCCTGCATTCAAGCAATTCTTCGCCCCCCCTCATAAATCAGCGGCGTACCGTAAGCGCCGGCCAGAGGCGCATATGTCCATACCTCGGCGGCAGTCGCCAAACGAAAACCGAGTCTGGCCATCCTCTGCAAAACCTCAGAGCAGTGCCGGATGTCTGGATGAATACCGGCACTATTGCCGCTTGGCACTTCCATTTGCACTCGCTTGAGCAGGTACACCTTGTCGGCCGCCGACTTAACCGCAAAAAAATCGTAGCCCTGACTATCGATTTTCACGAACTCCACCTCCACGTCACCAATCCAGTCGAACACTGTGCGCAAAGTCATGGTCGTAACAATCCTCTCCTCCCTTGCCTTGGAACAATCGATCACAAATAAGCCGGGCTTCTTGCGGTTGGAGGTCTGATGTTCAAAGTAAATAGAGATGAACAGCCTGAATTTTTGCCAACGTTGAACTTAGCTAGACCATCTTCAAGGCCTACTGCAAAGGGCAAAATCAAACCATTCCCATAGCGACCGAGCCTCCCCTCGGTGGAGTATGCCATACCGAACTCTTGATTGGCTACATACTTCCCGAACAATGGCTCAAACCCCAAGAGCAAGACGAAAACGTCCTTGAATTCGGGCCGCTTCATCAGGGTCGTCTTCATCGTATAGATCGTGCTTACTCCGATTTCTAAGAAGACCCTGGCAGCGGATGCTGGCAGAATTATGAAGCGCTTGGTCTTCCCAACATAGTCTTTAGATGAAGATGAAACGAAAGAGCCTGACGCGACGCTCAGACACGCGACCAAATTGCTTCCGATGATGTCATAGACCTTTCGCGGCTCGCAGGCCTCAGGCGCTCCCGGGGCCACATCGCTTGTCACCCCTCTGCCTACTGCCTTCGAAGCCTCCACCCGAACGCCCGGTGACGGATCGTCGCTGGGGTCGCTTTTCACTCTCCTGCCCACTTCCGTCGAACAAGTACAGGACTCCACCCGAGTGTTCGGCGCCGCACACGGCGCATACAACTGCCTACAGCCATTCAGAGCAAATATGACCCCAACGAGAAAAGAGAGGACATGAAGCAAAAGCGAAGAAGCCCCGAAGAGTGACATTCTTGCACGATCTGTCGAGGACTATACGTAGAACAAGAGCGCGATAAGCCAACAACCTACGAAATTGACACCCCACCCCATATGTTCTTTCACACAATTTCTGCGGCACATAGAGCACCAGGCGGCGGAGCTGAAAGCAGAAGAGGCTGGAAGCCAGGGAAGGTGGAAGCAAGGCGCTCAGGCATGGCCAGCGCGCTGGCTTAGGCATGGCCAGGCATTGCACACTAACCGCCGCCAGCTTGTACGCCTGCCCCTAGCTGCCCAGGCAGCTTCCTAACTGCTACAAGCATAGCGCACCAACCTGCTAGCCGTGCCAGCAACATGCGGCCAGCGCTGGGCCCACGAAAAAGCGCGCCACGCTGTACCTCGCTGCTCTGGGCAACCCCTCCACTCACGACAACAGAAAGAGGCCCTCCAGCGCGGGGCCTGCCACTTCTCTGGCGCCTTTACCAACCGGGTGGGCCGTCCTTTAAACCCGGCAGAACCCAAGGAGCAACCGACTTGAAAATCGCTACGCCGCATCTTCGCTCCTCGTAAGAGATACCGGAAAACCCCTCAAAAAGAAAACAAGCCACGGCCCCTGCCCTTTCCCTTCATGTTGTGCTGGTTCTTTTTGTTGCTGGAATTCGGCCAGGCTCCTTGACTTTAGGCCCAAATGACGCGCCGATGCCCACCCGTTTCGCTTCAGGGTAGCAGCCCCCTGGTCGCGATAGAGTGTCTTTGCATTACTCACTCGCCAAAGAGCATGCCTGTAGGCTTTGCTTCGCGGGTCTTTGGTATTGGGCCAAAACCAACGTAAGGCATGGTAGATCACATCTCTCAGGGCATAAGCTATCAATGGGCACACTAAACCACGGCGACGAAAAGTCAAAGCCCTGGCACCACGCCGCTCACACTCAGCGCTTTGCTAAAAACGTAGTTCCCTTGCACGTTGCGAACAGCAGAAGCAAGCTCCGCGCTCGCTATTCTGTCGCTGAAACAAGGGCTCCTCCGCGACACCCCCAGGCTCCGAAAATATTGTGACTCAATACACGAATCATAGGCGGAGTCCATTCTTGGACACCGGACGCAGTCCAGCGCACTTTTCTTCTCCCCAAACACGTGCCCGATTCGTGCGTGGGGGAAAGTCGGGAGACGCGTGTACGGGCTCTGGCGCTGACAACTCATCGAACGACACTTCCGGCGAGAGAGCTCCACTCCAAGAGGTAGCCTCCGCACACGGATCCCGCACACCTGCCAAAACGTATTGAAGTATCCTTCGCCACCAACTTGCGCGTGTTTTTGCTGTGCCTGAACGAGGCTCCGTTCTTGCTTCACCTCACTGCAGGCTCGATACCAGTAATTCCGGATGAGGTTGGGTAGCAAAGCCATGTCTTCCAACATAGTAGACGTCCGCCCAAGGGCGAGCCAGTCGCTGGCACACGCGACAGTGAAACTGTTGACAACGATATCCCTCGAACCAACTGTGACGTTGGAAGGCCCGACTGACAAAAGAAAAAGCCCACCGCTCCTGCCATCTACGGTACTACTATGAAGGCGATGGATTTCCATGGGGTACAAAACATCGAGGTCTGGTCGCGTTCGAATGATCACTTCATAATCGGAGCTCATGCCCGAAAGATGCGTGACCAGCTGCCGGCAGTCCCAGATCTTCATGAAATATGGAAGCATCTTCATTGTGCCACCATAGTCGTCACGCCCACTGTATCTTTGAGATGACTCACTCCGTCGCGCAATCGCGGCAAAACCAGACAAGTTATATCGTAAAGACGCGCCACCTTCACGTATGATGTAGCCTTTCAATCTGTCACCGAACCACCCTCGGAGTTTCTGTGGGTCTATGTCCAGGCTTCGTTCGCGCATGTTTCCGCCGCTGTGCTCTTTGCTCGTAGCAACGTAAACGTCGGCATTTAGTGGCTTCAAAACGTTCTCTCGCCAACTCTCGAGGACTTCCCTGCGCAGAAAACTGTGACCGAATCTGCCGCTGAAGCAGACGGCAACCCGAGCTGGACTGCGTGGGCTTTTGATCGAAGGCCCCGCCCACCCCACACCATCACTCGAAACACCTGGCGCCCAACCTTTACTCTTTGCCCCTGAAAACTGGCGCGAAGTCTCGCTGAGGCGGGTGGCCCCTGTGACAGCCACCGCGTGCTTGTAGAAGCAACACACCGAGATACCCAAGAAAAGCGCCAAGACCGACGGAGTCGCGAAACCCAAGGACATGTGCTGCCACGCAAGACTGACAAGGCAGGCTCAGCGGCTCCCGGCTGAGTCTCCTGTCTAGTTTCCAGTCCTGGCACCCCAAACAAGAAACGGCGCCGCCGATGATCCACGCACAGGAATCAATGGCAAGCCCCTTCTCCTGGGCAGCTTTATTCTTCACTTGTCACTGACTACAATAAGCCGATACCGTTACGCACCACAAACGAGCGGGGAGCGGGCAGCCCTAACTTCTTCTACCTTCTTCGAATACCAGAACCCTACTCATTTGCTGACTAAGCCCGCTTCCCCTTTTTCATTTTTTAAGCCTTCACTTGCACTTGCGCTTTCCTTCACAATGTTCTAAGTATCCGTGCGCCACAGCCGCGCCCCCTCTGTTTCACCCCCTAACCGTAGCCCTGCCTCTCTTGCTGTCTTATCCCTCAAAGCTCTCACACTCCACAGAGAAAGCAGCAACAGCTTCGAGCAACTTGAAAAAGCACGCGGGCAATATCTCCCGCGCCACCTCCGCCCACGCCTAGGCCTCCCTCCACCATCATAACGACACGAACGACGATCGGAACGACGAAGGCCAGCCGTCCCTCGAAGCGGGGGGGCCCTGCTCGCAACGAAGAATAATCTGACCAGGCGGCATCACTGGGATTGGTCGCGGCGTTTGGCTCTGTAGCAGTAGCAGCCTCTTCAGTGGTTATCATGACGGTGATCACGACGGGATTTGCAGCGCCTCTAGTCTCAGCGGGCGCGAGACGTTTTCCGAGACCGGTTGGCCTCCGGAGTCCGCCTCGTGCCATCCGCTTGACTTCAGAGAGGGGCTCGGGCTCCTTCACCTGCGCCAATGGCTTCAAGCTGGTCGGTAGTGTCGGCCGTCAGCTTGGCGGCGTTGTCGATGCCACTACCCTGAAGCTCTGATAAAGAACCATAGCACTTCCCGGCGCTACTCTTCTCCGACCACGCGCCTGCCGTTAAAATTTCCGACAAGGCTTCACCCGAGAGAGCAGCTGCGCTCGCTCCACCTTTACGGAAGCTATGCGCTCCGAAGTTTCCTGCTACTTTCAGCTTCCTAGCAGCATGCAAGCTGCACCGCTTTCAGCGCCTTGATGTGTGTAACGTTAGGAAGCAAACGACTTCCCGGTCGCAATTTAGCGAAGTGCTCTCTCCAAATCGCGCAAACTGGCCACGCATCTCGTGCCGCCCACGCGACATTATTGCCGCGGGTATTTGGATGCTTTCCCCTGAATGCAAACTGTCTAGCGACGCAAGAGTAAGAGCGGCACCCACGCACAAGCTCGAGCAATCGCATCACCTTCAAGGCGGTCCTTCCTAGTCTTAGGCCGAATATGTAGAGCATTTGAGCTATCGCCAGGCCAAGCTGCAGGGTGTGCGCCTAGCTTGATGCCGATTGCCGGCTCTTCTGAGCCTCGGAAGAAAGGGAGAGGAGGCCAGCCGCGTCGTCTCCACACCTAGGCAAAAACACCCAACAGAAAAGACACAACAAACGGCACCCAGACGAAAGGAGCGGGATACCAAGTAACTGACTCAAGAAGGCCGAGCCAGTGGGATCCCCTGCCGCCGAGACAGGCTGACTTCGGCGAATGCCTCAGGAGATCGCGGCAGCCAGCTTGGCCTTCTTCAGGGAACTCCAAACGCAAAACTTGAGCGACTTCCTTAGGGGCCGACCTTGCAGAGCCCATGGTGGGCGATTTGTTGTAAATACTGAGAAAGCTACTCCTAAAGAAGTCGTTGTAAATTTGGCCAGCGAATTTTTAGCGAATTTTTACTTTCATTTTTTTCAGACCTCTTAAATTAACAAGAAAAAAACCACCTTGAGGCTAGTAAAATTTTTCGTTTTTAGGTGAGTGATTTCATGAGAGAAAAAACCGCTACGGCAGTGAGTAACTCAGTACTTTTACGGCTCGCATACTATAAAAATAAAAAGTGCATACCAGGCAGCTAATTACTCAAATTTCTAAGGTCTCGACAGTGTAGAGGAAGAACTTGAGTCAGAGCCATCACTTTGCACTTTTTCCGCGTCTATTCACCCAGAGAGAAGCTACTACTTACGCCGATTGAAATTACGAAAAGTCGGCGATCTTTATGATGGTAAAAAAAAAGAGAGAAGTAACGGGCTCGAAGTCGCTAGAATTAGCATCACAATCACGAGACGAGAAAAATCGCTGCCGGCTGCGAATTTTCCTATTTTTACTGTGCTACTCCTTTCCGCTTTCCTCGGCTTGCGCGAAGATCAGCGCCACGACCTTGAGCGGCGAGCTTTTCTCTGTTTTTTGCTTTACAAGCTGACCCAGATCCTGACACCGATCGCGATCAAGAAGGGCTGCGATGTTAATGCTGCAGCGGCTTATCCTTATCGAGGGCATTAGCCTTCTTTTGGAACGCGTTCCATCCCCCGCGCCTGTGACGTCGATGGCCGACGCCTGACGGTGATGGAAGAACTTGCGATAGGGGGCAGATCCTCACTTAAGCGAGGAGGCGGCTCGCGAGCTTATGGCATGCCCATCCCCATCCTCATAGTGATAGCCGACCACGATGGCGCTTGAATTGGTTTCGATACTCATACGCATACACGTACTCTCAGCGCGTCTACCTCTACGCATTTAAATTTATTCAAATTCATTGTGTTTGTGAGAGTGTGGCTGTTAGTGGGTGAGGGCGTGTGGTGTGCGTGGTTGTGGGTCTGGACTATGCTTTCGATTCATCATTGTCAGGCCCAACTCCAAGGCTAAACTCTATCCCCATCCCCTATGTCTATACTGTTATCGTATACGTTACTCAACAGTCTACCTCTACTTCTTCTCGCTTCTGCTTGTGCTTCTTCTTTCTTCTAGTATCCCCCTGCTCCAGAAGCAGGAGCTCCGGCAGCCAGCTCCTCCTCATGTTCGTCCTCGTGCTCGTAGTTCTGGCAACCAGCTTCAGCGTCTACTTCTACCTGAGGACTAGCACTAGGGCTACCACTTCCACGACCAGCACCACTACGATTAGACTACGCTCGGGAATCCAGGACGCAAGGCGCGACCGTGCCGCAAGTTGATTCCCATGCGGCAAGCCGCTGCGTTCTGTATTTGTTTTCGACTACATCTGGGTCTTCGTGTGCAATTACTATTACACGCGCTTGGACTTGCGCTAGTGCTTGCACTGCGAGGAGGCAGCTTCAACGTCTACGACAGCAAGGGCAACTAGATTAAGATCTAGAACGAGAACAAGAGGACGAAAATGGAAAAGAATTGCATCAGCATCAACTTCCCTGCTCTTCTTCTGGCAGGTTGCCGCTGCTGTTCCTCTTCTTGTTCCTTTTGATCTCCCTCTTCTACTTTTTCATGGGCATGGGCATGGGCGTGGACGCTGGACAAGAACTAGGACAAGAACTCGCGCTAGGACTAGAAGACTCGCCATCGTCTCGGCCACTCCCGCCGCCACCTTGGTTCTGTCTCCGGTTAGAGCCTGTCCACGTTCGCCTTGAATTTCTGTAGCAGTAGCACTAGCAGGGCTCCTGGGTCTGCGTGTGCATCTAAGTGGAAGTAGCGGCTAGGGCTAGAAGTAGAAGCGCAGCTACAGTGTGGAGCAGGGAGCTGCTGCCGGGGCGTCATGTTTGTTGCAGATTCAGTCAACTGCCAACAACTGCTAAAAGCTAAGGCCGCAGCTAATGGCTACGGCTAACCCTTACCCTAGAAGGAAACGCGTCCAAGTCTGTCGGTTCTTGTCGTGTTGCTGTTGCTGTTACATTCGTGACTGAAATTTTAATTGATGTTGATGCGCTTGTCGATTTTGCGGCATGCGAAAGCAGATGGCCAGAAGGTACTAGACTGCCACAGGTGCGGGATAAAGACCAAGGCGGTAGGTCTGCAAGATACTGCGGCTGCCCAAACCGTGCTGACGCAGTTCGCGTCCGCGATGCGAGCTCGGTTCATCTGTCTACTCTGGGGCAACTACAGCACGGCAATGCCAAAGGGTCCGGATGAACTCGCACTACTAGCAGAAGCATACGAATGCTGGATGACGCCGCTGCAGCCTCTACTAGCGATCCATCCGAAGACTGCGCCTTAAGTGGAAATGAGTAGACCCCTAGGCCCTTCTGCGTGGAGGTGGCTGCGCGTCCCGACTGCGGCAGAGATGCGGAAGCTGCGGCACCGTAATCGCCCAGGCGTGGATCTGAACATAATTTGACATAATTTGGCACAGTTTGCCACTTTTTGGCATAATTTGCCACTTTTTGACATAATTTGGCAAAATTTGGCAAAATTTGCCATTTTTTGACAAAGTTTGCAACTTTTTGGCGAATTATGTCAAAAAATGGCAAACTTTGACAAATTTTGACAAATTATGTCAAAAAATGACAAAAAGTGACAAACTATGTCAAAAAATGACAAACTATGACAAGCTAGGATAGACGAAAGAAGAGCAAAAAAGCGGCGAAGGGTGACGAGTCAGACGGAGGCCAGCCAGAATTCTGGAGAACGCGGCGCCGACATGATGACGAGAGAGGCCCACGAAGATCCACGAGCGAAGGCCCCACGCCGAGGGACTCAGCCCACGACGCCGCCCGCGCCGGTGGCGTCGACTAAAGCAAGGAAGCCGAGGACCCACCGCGGCCGTGGCTGTAAGGCACAAGGATCGCCGTAGCACAAAGATCGCCGATTTTGAATAATAGCCCGCGCTCATTCTCTGTGTGAGGGGTGGGACAGGTCAGCCCACGGGGATGAGAGTGGCGCCATTCGTCGCGCTACCTCTGAGACTTTGTCAGAAGCGTGACGCCTGTGCATGCGACTGGACGCCAAGCACATGCGACAACGGAGAAACGAGAGGCGTCAGATTGCGCGTCGCCAGTAAGTAGAATAATGAGAGGCGCCAGATGATATGAGAAACTAAGTGGAGCCGGCTGGTCGGCCCTCCTTCGTGATGTTGGTCCATTTCTGGACTTCCTGGGTCACGCTTCTTGCTTTTGACCATCACAGTGAGACCAGTAGGACAGGCCTGCGCTTTCTCTCTCTCGTCTGTGTTAAGGTGTAGCCGAGTACATGCAGAGGGCCTGTCCGCTGCATCTAAACACAAACACAAGACCAACCAAATGAGGCCTAGATAAGCATCGAGATGCGTTAAGTTTGCGGCGTGTAGCTGTAGCACATGCAGAGCGTGACTGCACTCCCGTGCTAAGGTGATGGCGATACTCTTCAGGCTACTGCTGTAGTACTACATCTAAACACAAGCCACCCAATCAGGCAAGTCTTAAATACCCACCACCAGCCACGAACATTCTCCACCAGTTGCCATGTGGCCCAGCTTCCCAGCATACTTATTCTACTGCGTTGACAGGGGCACGAAAATAGGAACAAAAAAAAACTACGAGAAGACGGCAGCCCCCCAACTTCGCTGCTGCGTGGGTTTGTCTCTCAGAAAAAATTTTACTATTGCGATGCCATCCGGGGCTCTTTTTTTTTGTAAAAAATTACTATTGGGCGCACCTTTAGCCTGTTTTCGTGTACGAATAGTACGTATAGTAGGCGCAGTGCGAATAGTACGAATAGTAAAAATTTCTCCACGGAAAAATTTTTACTATTCGTACTATTCATACTGCGCCTACTATACGCACTGCGCCTACTATTCGCACTATAGGCTGAAAAGTGCCTCCCAATAGTAAAAAAACGAGCCAGGTCCAACATCGACCCTGACACAAAAAACGCAAAAATTTTCCACACCGAAAAATTTTTACGAACCAAAACGAAACGCCGCGGCGTCCTCCTGTCAATGCAGTAAAATTAGTAAGATGGGAGACGGACCACATGACAGCTGTAGGCAAATACTAGCGACAAAACTTTTTAGTTACGGGTCAATATGTCGCCCACCTTCCTCCATCCACAGACAAAGAAAAGGCAAACACGTGGCCGCATCCACTTAGTGGCACTATGGGCACCTACCTAGCGCAAAGGGATCACACGCCCATCCTATTCCCGCAACATTGACGCGATCGCGTTGGAATTTCTTACGGCTCGCGCTTCCATCCTATTCCAGCAAGAACAGACGCCAGGCCATCACGCTGGAACTTTTTACGGATCGCACACGCACCCCATTCCAGCACTGACCTAGCGCAAAGGGATACGGCTCGCGCCTCCATCCTATTCCAGCAAGAAGAGACATTAGCACGCTGAAACTTTTACGGATCACACATAGAAACTTTGACGGATTTGCGGATCGCACTGACATGACCCCACTCCAGCATTGACAGACCCCCACTCTCACGCTGAATTTCTTCACCATTCCAGCACTGACGGACTTCCATTCTCACACTGAAACTACTTCACCCGTCCAGCACTGACGGACTTCCATTCTCGCACAGAATCTCTTTCCCGTCACCTTTGAACATTGGGCGCCATCTATCAGCACCACACAGCCAGAACTTAACACAGAGCCCAACTGCTTCACACTTCCAAGGCTTGCAACACTTCACAAACACAGGCAGCGGCTGAAAGCTGATAGACTTCGACTGACACGACCGAAAGGGCATCGGCATAATCTCAGACCGAGCACGCCCGTGTATTGGGATTCATTTTTATGCACGTGGGGGCTTGCATTCACACGAATATGGTCCGGCGGTGTCTATTCCCATGAGATGAAGATAGGCAAACAGCTCGCACGCAAATGAAGAACGTGCGGCCCCCTACCAAGCCGGTGGCTGGTTGGGTCACCTTCTGGGCGCAAGAACCGCAACACACGCGCGGGGAAAGACACGCGCAAAGCGATGCCGGCCCCGCGTTTGACGGGGACACCGCCACGAGTGTCAACCCTGACCCCGCCGGGGCGCCCGGGCGTGTTTATCAAGCGCCGCACGCCAAGGCCCCGAAATGTGTGCCCCCTGATGAATCTTGGCACGACCCGCAGCGCACGTGGATACTTTCAAAGCGATGCCCAGCGGTGGATACCAGTGCCAACCCTGGCTCCACCGCTGGGGTGCCCGGGCGTGTTCGTCAAGCGCTGCAGCTCCCAAACCCCAGCCGCCTCCTTTATCAAACCAGACCCGTCAGCCAAGCACCCGCCCCGAGTTTGCTGGGCTTTGGAATCCAAAAGAGGCGACGCGACCGATCTGACAACTCTGGCCAGGCAGATCCCACGGGCAAGCGCTCCAAGTTTGTCGACGCGGTCCGGCGGGTCTGATCAGTGGGACAGACCCCGCAGCCAAGCGCCCCAAGTAGGCACAACCGCCCGGAGGTCATCCCTTGGCCAAGGGTTCCAGGCTTCTTGAGCTTCCAAGTTTCTCGGTCGAGTTTTCAAGGCCCTCCAATTTTGCTAAACTGTGGCCAATTCTTGCCAAAGTTTGGCAAAATGATGCCAGGGCCTCTTCTGAGTTTTGTCAAAATTTGTCAAAATTATGCCAAAACTTGTCAGAATTATGTCAAAACTTGTCCAAATTATGTCAAAACTTGTCAAAATTTGCCAACAAGTTTTTTGGTCTTTCTCAAAATTTGGCAAAATTATGACAAAAAATGCCAAAAATTTTTTTGCGCTTTGTCAAAATTTGGCAAAATTATGACAAAAAACGCCAAGAATTTTTTTGCGCTTTGTCAAAATTTGTCAAAATTTGTCAAAATTTGGCAAAATTTGGAAAAAATGTCTCTAACTTGACATCAAAAAGGTCCCGGGGTTTACTTTCATAAAGAGGTAGTCGAGATCGCGACCATCTCCATCACGCTCAAAGTCTAAAGCCAAACTGCCAGCAAAGTGAAGCCAAGTCTAAAGATAAAAGCCGAAGCCCAGCCTTAATCTCCAGCCGTGTCCTCTCTGAACCGTCAGCGTAGCCGTGAGCGTGAGCGTTCGAGCTCCGTCTCCATCTCGTTCGTTTTCTTCATTTTGGAAAGTCATGACCAAGCTGGCGCTGTGCTGGAACTTGTCGACGCTAGAGCTAGACGCTCTTGATCATGATCCTAGATGCAGACGTAGACCCTGGGCCTCAGCTTCGGCCTGTGGTTGTGCTATCTGCTTGCCTTGTTCGAGTTTGTAGACTTCTTGTGCTTACTACTTGCACTTGTTGCCGTTCTAGTTCTTTTCTTGTTCTAGAAATTGTCTGTAGTAGTTAGAATTAGCCCTGTACTGGCAGAAGTAGCTACGCGCGCACGTAGTCGTAGAGCTAGTTCTACGTCTAACTCTAGCTGTAGTTGCTAGCTGTGATAGCCCTAGTTCTTGAGCCTGTAGATGTAGAAACTGAACAGGCTGAGCTTCTTTATCGTTGTCTTTTTTCTGCCTTTACCTTTAGACCAATGCTAAAGGCTTTCGCGACAGCGACGCGCAACTAATCCAAGTGCCGGATGCCCATGCCGATGCGAGTGCGAGCCGGAACCCGAGGCAAGATAGCGGTCTCTTCCGTGTTAAATCCGTACTACCTGGAGAGCCAGGCGCACCCACCTGGAAAGAGAGACGGCTTGAGGGTAACAGCTGCGCTCCTCACTAACTCTAACGCCACGTGGTGAAGAAATAGAGAGCCGCGAGCATGTCCCTGGTGCTAGTGCTAGTGGTTCCGGGCCACAGCCGCTAGATCTGGCAATGGGAGGGGCACCGCCTGGGGCCACCGGCTACCTAGAACTAGTAGGGGGGCCACAGGCTACCTAGAACTAGCCGAGACGCAATGCCAAAGCATCGCGCGCCAGGTTGAGGCTAGGCGCTAATCCTAATCGTAGCTGGAGCCGCGTCTGCCGGTGGGATTGGCCGGGGCTAAGGGCTTCGATTTGCCCCTATGGTTGCGCGGCGGTGGGCGCTGCTGTAGCTGTTTAGCCTTGGCTTTGCTGACGATGGAAAAGCAGACCCACCGCCACCCGCCCCCGCTGCCCCTGAACAATACGGGCGCGCGGCCCAAGCTACGCGCAACCATGGCTACCGCGAACGCCTCAAGGCCAGCCTCACCTAGTGCCAATCCTACTCGAAACGCCCCAGCCACTGCCGCACCCTTTGGCTGTAGCGCTTCCGCCTTGCGTTCGCTTGAAATAGAAAGCGGAGGGCAGTCTGGAGCTGAAGCGGACAAATGATAAGACTAAAGCTACAAGCCTAAAGCTAAGGGAAAACGAAGCAAGACCTTCCACATGTCTCCGCAGATGCATTGGCAGCCTCTGCGCCTGCCCCGTCTTGTTCTTTTTGTTTCTTCAGTTGCAGACCCGCTGCGACACTGCAAACAAGCTCCCACCAAACAAACGGCACACGTCTCGCACTCGTTTCCGCTTCTATTGCGATGCGTGAGATTGTGTCGCTGCGTGTGCCTTGAGGTAGCGGCGCTTGCCGCTTCTGGTTCTGCTTGGTTTGTTATTGTTTGAATTGAAGACGTTGGAAGTCAGTGAGTTTCTCGGCGTACCTGCATGCAGGTTATTTATTCAAGGCCGAAAGCTAGCGAGCTATCTTTTTTTACAATGCCTGCCGCTATGTTTATTTTTTCAAAACTGAACGGCCTTCCGGAACGTTTTCCAAACGTGCCCGAGGCTGATTTTCTGCACGCGCCTGAAGCTGTTTGGTTTTACTTAAAAGAATAAGCCCCGTAGTGATTTTTATTTCATGCCTCAAGGGGGTCGATTTTTTGGTAATTAGAGACCTGCAAAGTGACTTTTTCCATCATGACCCAGACTACTTTTTTTTTCGTTGATTCTACTAGCTCAAAAAAAACAATATATAAAATTCGCTAAAAATTCGCTCCTGAAATTTACAGCGACTTCTTTATGAGTAGTGAGAAAGTCCCCCACTTTCTGAACGTCCAGCGGAAACGGCTTCCCAATAAGATCTGAAGGTAATGCACAAATTCCAATAAGATCTGAAGGACGAGAGATAACTACCCCAGGACTTTAACGCCCCACCCTTCACATGAAGGGGCGTTAGCAGCAAAGGCTTGCCTTGCCTTGGATGAGCCGCAGCTAGCCATCAATCTCCCGAAAAACTGGAGGGCTTTCATCGATAAAAAAAGCGCTTCTTTGTGCTTCTACAAATTTCCTGAACCTCTTGAAAAGTATGCCACTGCTCGAAGAGTTTGAAACTTCTGCGACCGTCAACGCAGTTGCTGAGGCCATTGCTCGACGCTGGGCTTGGTCCCTGACCGGGTGAAGGGCTCCGCCTCTAACCACAATACCAGCGGGCTGCCTGCCATATAAGGCCGACGCCCTCGGGCTAGATGGTGCAGAATTGTCATGGAAAGAAGAGCCAGAAGCCGAAGCCACAGCCGTAGAGCGAGACTCATGATCATGCGCCGCCGTAACTTAACAACCCTAACCGCAGAACTCTCGAACTTTACAACTGAAGACGATGAGGAGTCTGACACTCTACAAAGATTGGACGCCAGCACACTACTACTCGCCGAAGTAGAGCTTTTCATTGAAAAAATTTTGCTGGTACAGCCACACTCTTCAAAAACTTGCACGACTAGAACGGAGACACTAATTATTATCAAAAAAATTTTTTATCCAATGGCGCCAAGCTATCTTAGCCGCAAATTTATCAATCTCCACACGAGACCCCTTCCAAAGCCTAACTCTAAGAAGATAGGGGAAGAGCTGGCGCCCTGGTGAAAAGAAGAGACTTACGTCCAGAAAAATTGATCCAGTGACGCGAGATAGCAACCAAAAACCGACTAAGCAAAATACTCCAAAAACGGTCGGCGTCATCAATCAGCAAAAGAAGACGAGGCCAAACACAAGTAAGACGATGGGAAGGCCTTTGATCGACCAACTTAAACGAAAAACGCCTACGACCTCACGAAACAAGGACGACGATACGAGGCACAAGCCTACTCGTCGCTACTAGCGGCAGTGGTGGAAGATTCCCCACTTGCAGACCCAGCCTCAGCGCCCCACTTCTCTAGCTAACGCATCAGCGAAACGGCTCTCCAACTCATTGCGTTCAGATTTCGACGACGGAACTCCATGAAGGAGGCGACAACTAGCACGACCACAGTCGCCTTCTCTATTCGCCCCTTACTGATAAACGCAAAGCAGCGACGGCGGCCCTTTCCTTGGCCCTTCGCCGGACGATCCGGGGAGCTCGGGCTCGAATATGGACCAGGACGATCGGCCAGCTACTTCACATCTGCGAGAGCCTTACGCAAGTCCTCGCCCAAAGTGACGCCCTGCGCACTGGAGTGGAGTTAATTTCTCAAGACAGTAACGAATAATAAAACTGAAGCCGACGATGGTATAAAACAAATTACAACAGTACACAAACACCAACCACCCGAGACAAAGACAAAAGAAATAATCGCAACAGTTCTAGGCCGCTCCCTTTTGCTTTGGGTCTAGTTTACGACACCGATCAAAAATCAACAACACTCGCACCGCACGAGAGACGAGAAGCCTCAACACACTGGCGCAAACTAACCTGGAAGAAATTGGCAATGTGCTGGCAGTAGTCCACTCCGTTGATCGCATGACTTCCGCACAGGCGCGAAGTGTTGTTTTTATGCACCGCCTCGACTGCCTTCTTCAGTTCCGCACGACTGCCCGCCTTCTTGACTTTCTCGCCAGCAAAAACCTTGCAAAAGCGAAAGAGATTTAAAGACTTGACCAAGGCTACTGAACCATAAGCCAAAAAAAAAGAACAGCAAGCACCATCCTACAAAAAAGGCAAGACGCTCCGCACTAGTTGCAAGAAGAGAACATAAACCCAAACCAAGAACAAGCAACGCCTTACCTGCAAAACGTCAGCGATCAAACGCTGGGCAAGATTGACGGCATCCAGCTCCGCACCAGCTGCAACCGCAGCCACATTATTGGCGACATTAGCAGGAACCGGCAGCACGAAGCCGCTCAATAGGCGCACCGCAGCGACATCCCTGGCCACCATGCCCGTCAGTTTCTCTCCCGGTCCAGTGACACGCTCGCGCAAAGAACCCACCACGCGCAACAGTTCCACATCAGCGGCGCACTTCTCCGTCGTGGAAAAAACAATAGCCCCGCAACCAGCCTGGGCTGCTTGCTTCGTAGTGCGCACCTCAAATTTGGAGTGTGTGTGTGAATCGATAGAAAACAATAATAGGCGCGCACAACTTAAGACCCACGATAAGAGGAAAACACAAAGAGGCCACATTCGAGCGCAGCTCTGCCCTACCTTAAACACGAGGCAACTACTGAGCTACCTTGACCGGGTCAGCTTTATCACGGATGTGCTCGCTGATCAAAACTTGAAAGGCGTTCGGGACAGTCGCCCCTCCCGCTGCAGCGAACACTTGGCCGGCCATGTTTCCGAATTTATGCTACTCTTTCCAACTGACGACAAGGGCATCACGCTAATAATTGACGCACAGCTATGAGTTTGCAAGGAAGAGAGTCGCCCCTCCCCTAAGTAAGAGCAAGGATGGGGCTGCCAATTGAAGATGATTTTTCCAGCGCCGACCGATTTGATGCCTCGGGGTGCCCTCACGAGCGCACTTGCCTCAAACACAGCCACACTTCTCAACCCCCGTCACGCGGGTCGTAGGGAGAAGATGACAACTCCAAACCATCAAGATTACTCAAAACAAAAAAAAAAACGCGCGACGATTTAACCACTTCCGACGTCCAGCAAAGTTTCAGCATTCTGCACAGTCAACGTCGCCAACTTCTTCACACAGGCCAACAAATAGCCACAAGCTTTATCCTCAGCATGATCAAAGTGCTCGCGGAACTTCTGCCGCAGTTTTTCCTTAGTGGGCAAATCCGCCCGATTGAATTCTGACGGTACGCGATCAAGAGGAAGACTAAGACCAGATAGACTGCAAAACGTCCAAAATTCCTAAGCTGCTAACGCCATGCACGGCTTGCCACGCGCTACTCATCCTATGCAATGCGCCCTCGGCGCTGGCGTTATATTCAAAAAAGTGCGCTCTCTGGACCCACTGGCGAACTCTTTCCAAACCATGACGGAAATGGTTGGCCCAATGGCCTCAAGAAAATTTATGGGGCGGGGGAGTGAAAGAGTCGCGAAGATTGACCGCCAGACGAGAGCCGCACCCGCCACGCTCGAACTTGACCAATAGGCTTTGCATTCTGTGCAACACTTTCCAGAGAAACAAGACGAATACCACACGCAACACCTGGGCCCTTTCTCCAACTGTAACCGAAATTGACTGTTCTCTCCACGCAACAATTGCCATCCATGTATTTGGGATTGCGTGAACACTTGAATACTTTGTTCAAGTTGTAGCCAAGTTTCAGGAAACTTACTCACCTTGTTGTTTACGTGTTGCTTACTTGCATATACGTGAAAACGTAGTTACAATCTAACTCAAAACAAACGTAGACTACATCGTCGAAGGATGATCATAGGTTGAGAATCGTTCAGGAGTCTCAGTGTTGTTTTGTCGTGCTTCTTTGTTGTGCTTGTACTTACGTGCACACCGTTCTTACGTTCTGAACTGAACTAGCTTGCTCTCGCTGACAAACGTCTAAAACTCATGCGAAGTTCTGTCATACATGACCGATTTCAGACTTCGCACTTGGACC